CAATTGCTCAGTTGTAACTGTTACCTTGATTGACATTCTGAGCCCCTATAGATGCTCCTGAACTTGAAGGTCTTTGTCAGAGGTCCTTCTCTGAATCTTGTCACCTTATGAGGCAAGGCAAGTAATGCCTGGAAAGAGGACATTTTTAGTTCTGTGATCCTTCCTGGAGAAAGAATCTCTGGAGATGCTTCGCTGGCATTGAGCCCAAACGTTTTCTATTAGTAAGTAAGCACCTATTATTTTAATTTGTCAGGCTTCCTAACATGTTACCTAGTTAATTTAAGATAGATTAATTTTAATTGGTTGCTGACAACTTTAAGCCCTCATTTATTTATATGGCTTTGCTTTACTTATTCATTCATTTAGATTTTTATTTGTCTGCTCCAGAAGCTCTATATGTAGCCCTCTCTCATCCATTTTTTCTCCTCATCAACAATCCTGTGAAGTAGTTTGAGTTGTGAAAAAATAGTAGTGCACAACCTCTTTGACACTGAGGGAAAGGATGAAGTAATTTCCCTTCTATTCCACATTTCTGCCTTTTAAAATTTAGAAACAAACAAACCAAGGGAGAAGAATCTAAATCTAAGTGCCATAGTAATTTGTGGCTCAGTCCGGGGCAAATCTTGGGAAACATCAGATGTTGTTGGACCACAGTTATAATCATTCTTGCATATTAATCATGGGAGTATGCTTGGGTCCATATTGGAAAATGCTTTTTTGTTCTGTTTCTACAAGTGTAGTTGGTGAACCTGTACCTAAGATTCCAAAGATTATATTTAGAACCAGTGTCCTCCATTTACAGAATATGCTTATTTATTTATTTTTATTTGTTAATCCAATTTGTATAGCCACCCATCTCGCAGAAAAGCGATTCATATTTCATGATAAACAGGGGTAATAAGCCATAGGGCTGAGCTGTACACATCTTTGAAGGGTTGGTTAGCTTCTGGTATGCTTTGTATACCCCACTGAAGTTGCTTTGCAAAGCCACACTGCTCCCTCTCTTCTAAGGCAAAGTGGCCATATTGCTTTCTTTGACCTTGATTCTGAGGCCTCATCAAACTGGAACAAGCTTCTGTCCAGATGCAATATAGTAATATAATACAAGTTTTGCACCACCGTATCACAAAGTTCTGGACAAGAGAGGCTGAATTTTTTGTTTCTTTCACTCCATATGCTTTTATTGTATACATGCGAATCTAGTGAACGTTGGCAATAGCTTTTACTCAGTTGAAATGTTGCACTGAGTATGATGACACAGATAAGAATACTGAATATATTTAGTTCATTATTATCTTTATAATTAATAATACTACTGCAAATATGATTCTCTTTTTTCATTTTTAATTAACTAAAAATTAACTTTTTAATTAACTAAATACAAAAGGCAAAGAAAAAGAAAAATAATTATATTTTTATAAGAGAAGAAAAAACTGAAAAAGACATACAAAACATATTTACAGACATAGATATATTGATAAATTGAAGCTATGATTCATTACAGTAATATTAATCAATTCTCCAAACCACTGAACAGTTGGACCACATGTTTGTGCTTCCAATACTTAACAATAAGTATTTTGATTATGAGTTTATTTTCTTTGTCCAGAAATCAATTCCCATGTGATTGAAATAGCATATAAACATCTAACAACATTAAATCTCAAGGCTGAGTTAATACATGCAGTTGCTTCCTACCAAAATGAAACTGCATCTCCAACAACATAAATGCAATACTGTAAAGTCATTTCTAAAATATTATTTCTTCTTGAAAAGAATGTGATCTAAAATCTATTGAAAAAATTGTTTTTTTAACCTTTTTTTTTAAAAAAACTGGTTAAATAGAACATACAAACAACACCCACACACCCAGACACACACACTTAAAGGAATTTGACAAAAAAGTTTAAAAAGCAAAACAATCAAAATTAATTTTAAAAGCTATAAAAAGGGCATTATAGTAGTCCCCTCTTTCTTC